TTTAAGTGGCTGACTCTCCTGAGAAATTATTAAAAAAACCTTTTATTCCAACCTCCACATAATTTAGGAATAATTTTATACTATTAATAATTAACAAAAAGTATACTTCATTTATATTTTTGGGGGAATTAATCTTATCAAATGTTTTTATTGAACACAACGGTAATATGTTTTTTTTTTCAAATTAAATATCTCAACAAATAATAGGTTTATAGGATTTGTTTTTTACTGAATTCCGAAAAAAATTATATTTATTTAAAATTAACAAAACTTTGTTTTCCGAAAAAGACTTATCTGGTTGTTACACAAAATCCTTCAATTTAAGTAAGTGTGAGATATTTATACATTTTAAACTATTTTAAACATTAGACCAATGCATTTACCAAAGAAGATTCAAAAGAAATAGATAAAATGTTTTTCTAGTTGTATTACATTAAAATCCAGAATTTTGAAGTCATGAAGATAATTTTAAAAGTATACGAATAAAAGGTATTTTTTGTCACTCGTCACTGGGCTATGAAAACTATTAAAATAAAATACCAAGCCCATAGTTTCAAACTAAATATTTAAATGTAAAATTGTAAGCGTTGGCTGGTTATTTCATCCTTTGCGTGCAAGTACTTTAAATTCGCTATAATAGCAAACATTAAATGAAGTCTAACAGCTATATCTGATATACACAATGAATAAAAAAAGGGTCATGATGTAATGATTTAAAAAATTACCTTATTTACAAATCTGCAACGCTTCTGCTAAGCATTATTTTAATGCTTCTAGGTATTCTACACAATAAATAACATGAAACGGGATAAGAATAATTAATTTCATTTGAGATGTTCTAATAAAACTTTAACAACACAACAATTTTTTTTTACAAATTTGATTTTTAAAAATTTAACACGACGGGCATATAAATATCTTGTTAAATAAATGTATTACTGTTTGTCTAAATTCGAAAAATATAAATGTATTATATATTTACATTTAACTTAAGCTAAAAAGTTTACTTCAAGATTTTTAAAAATTATTCATGTTTTATTATTATGATTTAAAATGGTTAAGACAATAATTGCTGTTAAAAATAAATAAATAACTCCAAGGATAAATAAAATTTTTTTTATAAAAAATCAGAAGTCATAATGCTAAAAAAAAAAATAAACAAACTTTATAATATTATACTTTATTTTGCGCAAGTATTTTGCATGAATACTATTATCAAAAGGCTGTAGACATAAAATCCATTAAATGTCTGACAATATTAATTTCCCATGGGTTTCAACTTTCAACGTCTGATGGACTTTATACGACAAATTTATGCTTTTAAGAGCAATAAACAAGTTATTCCACACGTAGCCTAAGATGCTGGAAAATTATCAAACTGTGAAATAAAATTTATAGGTTTATACCTAAATAGGAAAGAAATTTTATGAGAACTACCCCTCTTGTGATGTGTGCTTATTAGTCATAGTAAAAATGGTCTTATGCATTAAATACAAGTGGATTATTATGGTACCATAATAATGTAAATGATGTTTCCCCTCAACAACCATTTTTTAATATTTTATCAAAAATTAATTTTAATTAGCGTCAGGAAAGGTATCTGGTAGTAAAAAAATACAAATTACCAAATTTTTAAATAATGGTGGTAGCATTGACTCAGAATTATCAGGAAAGGAAACAAAGAAGATTATAATGATAAAAATTAAAGTGAAATTATATGCATGAGTAAAGGTTGTTTCACTCATCATTAATAACACAATTAACAATAACTGTTTCGAGAATTTATTTTAGATTTTGTAATTAATAATAAATTGTTACATTTTATTAGGGTATAATTAAAATTTTTTTATTGTTATATTTGTGTTTGAAGAAGGGCGTAGCGTCCTCTATCAATGGTAATTGATAATGTTTGATGATATAAAATAAAAAATGTAAAAAACCAACGGTTACGAGAAGTCGTCATTTTAGACGATAGCAGATACGTTTGTATAGAAAAAATATTAATAGCATCACGTTAACGTATAACATATAACTGATTTTTGTTTGCTAATATTATGTTAATACATTCTATAAAGTATCAAAAAATATAATATTGTTTATATATTTAGTGGCGTATTTTATACTTTTAATAAATAGGCGCGAATTTAAAATTTTGTTAAAAAGGACTTAAAAATTCCTATCAAAATTTTCCCGTGAGAGTCAGAGGACATACAAATTTTACATATTACTCTTATGCACTTTCTAAACTACTTGTTCATACATAATTTTATATTCATATCGCAATAACATACACGTATTGTATCTATATTATTTTACTGTACTTTCTATCTTATTAGTACAATTAATAATATAATATATATATATTTTAAAACTAGTAAATACAAACAATGACTAAAAATAGCAAATTTATTTAAAAATTCTTTTAAAAAAGAAATTTGTTAACAAATTAAATATAATAAAAATCATAGATAAATTTTTAATTTATAAATGTAATAAAATTGAAAATATAAAGTATGATTAGTTTATCATAAACCACTTGACTATTTGCAAAATAAATACAATATTGAAAAAAATATTTATATTACACATATATTTCTTGATTCATAAGCTAATAATTACTTTTTTTGATCATCTCTTATAACTTAACGGGGTGTCAAATTTATTTTTTAAATAATAATATATAAATTAAATTGGCTTATAAAATATTTATTTTATATAAACACCTTATGTATTCCTTTTCATTTGATAGAAATTTTATGATAATCTGACCTTTTACTTGCTCACATAGGGGATTCAAAGTAGCAACTTTTTTTAAAAAACTCAACTTAACTTTTGAAAATTTCGGAAAATACTGTGTCCTTTTAAATATATGTCAAATTAAAGCTTATTTTATGTACTAGAAGTTCAAAAAAAAAAAATTTCTATTAACGACCTATTTTTTATGTGCAAATGGCAGTTGGAGTAGAACAAAAAACAGTAGTTAATTTTGCTTTTGGAATAACCCACCAATTTCTTAAAATTAAACACTATCTACAGATATGCATCGAAGCGTTTCTTATGATAGTGATTATAATCAGTGTCAGATATCATCTAAACTTGTCCCAACTATGCCATGTCAATACTGTGCCACGACCCCATTGTGCTACCATTTTTTATGACGTCGTTATTCGCAAATACGCAGCATTTATTGTCAATTATGACTTTATGAACAGATATGCTTAAAGTATGGTAGTAAGAAACATTGTTTTGAGTTTACAAATACATCGACTGGGAATACAGAAAATATGTCTATAAATAAAGTCATAATTGACAATAAATGCTCCATATTAACTTAAAAGGTATTAGATAGCTAATAATTCAAAAACAATATGTAACTAAAGATAACAAAAAAAAAAAAATGTTTTAATTATTTTATTCTGTAAGTAGTTGAGTGGGCTATAATAAATAAATCTTTCTGTATGCACGTTTTTTTCTTTGACAAATATAAAAATTTAATGGAATTCTTAAATTTAATTGCATTATTTACACTAAAACATATTTATTCTTAGTTTTAAAGTAATATTTATACTCATATACTTTTACTATAACTCATATTGCATGCATAAACAAAAATTACCAAAAGGGAGTATCTATGATTTAGATAATATGAAATAATTCCGTTATTGAATCAACAAAAGATATAATAACCCGTTTAATTTAACGAGTTTGGAATCTTAGATTAGTTATGTACACAGATTAATAGTAATCTAATGAGCATTAGATTTCAATAGCTTATTTTTATCTAATTTAAAAAACTTTTAAATAAATGATTTTACAGAAAGTTTTAAGTAACGAGATTTATTAAAAATTATATTTATTATGTATTCATAATAAAACTAGATTAAGTGTAAACTAAATTTTAATATTTCATATGTATATATTATATATATATATCATTAAAATATTAAATGCAAACTTGAAAAGATATATTCATAAACACTTTTTAATTAAGTACTGTCAAATGCAAATTACTGCTTTTTAATAAGTACGAGTACACTATGAATTTAATTAACTTGGTATTTACAATCTAATTTATTTTAAAAAGTACTGACATATTTATCAACTACTATAAAAGGTTTCTTTAGTAATCTTAAACGAGTTTAAAACTTTATTATTTTATAAAATAATAAATTAAGACTCGTGGAATTATGAAAGAGTTGCAAAAATTACAAAAAACTTAATTAGGCTAAATAGTCATTGGAGAAAACATTTTAAAAATTTGAGTGCCTTAATTAAGTTTATAGTTGTGTAAGCTATAAAAAGAGATTTTGAAAAAATATATATCACTAATTCTATTAGACTTTGTTGATTAAAATAATGGAATAATATCATTATAAAAAAAGTAATTACATACTTCTAATAACATATTTTTGTTTATAGTTTGGTATTTAACAATACTTCACTATAAAAGTTGTGATGTTCTTACAATTATATTACAAAAATCAGATACAACAAGCTTTAACTCATTTATTACTTTTTATAAAACAACTAACTATTTCTAAAATTAATATTTAACGTGATATTTAATGGTATTCTTTTGTGCAATATTTTTTCTATCTAACAACATGGTCTTATAAAAAAAAATGTTTTGTTTTATTCAACGATTTGGTCTACAAAACACATATCGATCATCAAAAAATGATATATTATTCTTGTGCTACATTATGACATAGCAACAAATACTAAATTGTTATTACTTTCTGCAAATATCTCTAAAAGTAGAATACTCTTGTCACAATAAATTGCTTATATTGATCGCCATATGTTTTTAAGTGTTCTTGGATATTTTGATCTATTTTGCGTCTCAGCCTTTAATTGAATCGTAAATTTACCAAAACTATTACAGTATACTATAGACGTTTTTAAACAGCTCGTATATACTATACTGTAAGAATATTACCTAAACCAAGTATCAAATAATAACAAATTATTGCAAATAAATGTTTTATTTATGATTTCAGAGATAGTGCTAAAATGAATCATCTGCAAGTGTTAGATAAATTGTTAAAAAACAATTATGACAGAAGGGCCACACCAACTAATCATTTAAGTGAGTTTTAATAATAATATTTTACTTTTTAATAATTTCTTTTAAAGTCATATATTTTCAATATAGTTATGAAGTATTTGTCATGTTCATTCCTTATAACTTATAAGCGTGTTAACTTTAATTCATTAAATTTGAATATATATAATTAACTAGCATATCTATTAGATAATGATCTTATTAAGAAAATTACTTTTCAATAACAACTTTTGGACCAATATTTTAGTATTTATTAACATGTAAGCATCTTAAGTGAGAGATAGAGAGAGGCTAGAAATGTCTAGTGATAAAACTAACAGCAACCACTTTTCACTTCCATTCAAAACTAAATTGTTAGTGAATTCTGAAATACTGGTCCAAAAGTTATTATCGACCAATTAATTTCCTAATTAGATCTTTTTATAATTTGTAAGCTAATTAAATATGTATGTTCCCTAAAAAAATTTTAAGTTATCACCATTATAAGGTATTAGGGATGATAAATTAAAGAAAAATGTAACTTAAAGAAACTAATAAAAAGTTGCTAATATTATTAATATTGTTTTGATTAGTTAAGTAGTCAATGAAAAAAAGAATCATTCTCCATAAAATTTGTTGAATTAACATACAATTTTTAATTTTGTTGTTGTATGGATCATACAATCTTAAACAAAAAATATTCTTGTTATTGAAAACTACTATTACATGCCTGTTTTTGGAGTAGCACTGTTAAAATATGATTTAGCCATTAAAACTATAGCATAATATTTAAAAATAATTAAAGTTTTGAAATTTTTAAATATTTTTTAGAAGATCCATACGTTATTTATATTAAAAAAACTTACAAGACTTATGGATGTATTAATAATACACCGAAGAGTTTAACTAGATACCTTGAACAATATTTTATAATTAGTATTATATAGAGATAATATTCAAAGGATTAGGTTAACTATTTCATTATAAACTGACAGAGGTATGAGACAAATCGTATTACTATAATATAATAATATTATCGTAATAACGATGTTTACAATTCAGACAGAGTATCTGATGTTATACATTTTTTAGATTTTGTTATGTAAAATGTACATGATGTTTTCTTCTCTGTTTAAAAAAAGTAGCAAATCGTAATTCAGAAGTTGTTATTACACTTTTCTGATAACAACAAAAAACAATTGATGTTTTATTGGACTTTTTTGTCATTTTAGGAAAAGGTGCATGCATTAGAAACATTAAATAGTATTTTTTTTTATCATGTTGTTTGCAAAAAAATGTAAAGCTTGTTATATTTTTTTGCAATAAAGCTAACGATCATTCTTTAATGCAACATATGTGACAGTAAACATTTTAGATATCACATGTAAAAGGTCTTATCGCATTACCAGCTAGTCTGCATTTGATGCGACAATCGTTAATACTACTAATGGAATTCACCTTATTTCATGCTATTATGGCACCCCGAGAATTTACAGTCGCCTTTGTCATTTGGGATAAAAGATCAAGATTCTTGTTCAATTATAAGTGTAAACAAGTTTTAGAAATAATACAATAAGGTCCACGGCTATTCTGAAACCAAATTGTTCCCATCAAACCTGTCAGATTTTAAATATACAACAGTTGTGTTTATGAACTCTATTTATAAACAAAACTTAAACACATCTGTAGGATTTTAAATTAAATAATGTTAACATAAAATTAATAAAAATTTAATTAAAAAATTACACTAAAATTACATCGTTTATTTTTACCAGTTTTTATTAAATGGCTACTATCCAAAATATAGTTTAAAAATTACAGTTTCTTTTATACGTTACACATTAATTTTAAAACATACGAGTATTAACCTATGAATTATATTTAACAAATAAATTGTTCAATTGAATGCATTTTATGAACAAATTAATTGTTGCGAGTTTAATTAACTATTATATCCATATTTTTTACAAAAATATAATAAAAAAATATAAAAACTGACACAAGTACTATAATCGGCACTTCATGAAATAAATATATTGAAAACATATTTTTTTGTACTTTTAATTACAATATCAGTATTTGAATGAAAAAATTAATTTGATTATTTAATTAGATAAATTATTATACAGTGTATAAAGAAAAAGGTTGATAGTGAAGAACACATATGTATAGGTTATAAAGGTGAAAATATATGTTAAACATAAGGATAAACTTTAAAATAAACTTTGGAAAATTTTTTATAAATTATCTTAAAAAATAAACAAAAATTATTTTCTCAGCTTATTATTAAACCAATAAAGTTTTTACCAAGCTGTTATTGATCACTTTTAAAAAGTTACAATTTCACATAGCTAAAAAGCGCTACTTGATCGAACACTTTTTACATCATTTGATATATAAAAATTCCTTTAAAAAAAAAAAAAAAAAAAAATACAAAATTGAAGAAGTATAGAATTTTGAGTCGAGTTTGATAATTAATAATTTTAATGAAAATTTATTCAGTAAAAAGATTTTACCATAATGATCAATGTTTTAACTCTCAACTTTCTTAAATTTGTTAAATTTAACAAGTTTTAAGTATTTTAAAATATAATAAGGTACTTTAATTTCAAGAAAATGAATAAAGCACTTAAAATGTTAAACTTCCAAGGTTATTTTGTAATATATAAAAGTTCACAGAAATATTTTACTCATTTTCAGTATAATACTTGTTGAACATACCTAATTTATTTCATAACTCATAACAAATAATTTTTTTTTCATTATTTCTGATACTTTTGGAGAAAACTTTATTTAATTTTAACCAAACACGTAGAAGAACTTCATATGTGGTAGTTGGCTGATTAAGATGAATGCAGCTGGTGGGTAATCGTTAGAAGATTTAAAAACTTCGAATATAACATTATTTCCTGTTGGCTACAGTTATGATATATATATGTTTCTACACAACTAATACTTTATTATTTTTATTTATAATGCTTAAATATTTTAATTCAATAAAAGTATTAATATACTTCAATAGTTGAAAATTTTAATATGTTATAAGAATTATAACATATAATATATTATATATTTTCATCTAAATTTTAAAACTACTGTAACTTTTAAAAAAAAATGTATTTTTATATAGAATTTATAAAGACAATAAACTTTATTTTGGTATACTTTTTATGAAAATCTAATTAATGGAAAGATTTGGAAAAATCCATCTACGTGTAGAAAATATATTTTATTTCAATTTTTGACAATTTTTGCAGAACATCTAACAATTTTTAACCTTTATCAAATTAAATATTTTAAAATGAATACAGTATTTAAAAATAGTTTCAACGATTTTCTTCGATGAGTAATCGGCTATTAAAATATAAAATTTCTGTAAGAATTTTCTTTGTGTTCTTTTTATATGCACAATCGCAATAAATGTATTATGAAAGTGATGTTATCACTGGCACATATCAATCTATATTAGAGTCTACTATGCTGGGTCTCGACTGTAATGAATTTTTAATTAAGCACATACATTAATGTGTTATATCTACAACTCAGCTTATGCTTATAGCGTTATACAGAATTATTTTTTTATCATAATCCACTCAACTACTTACAGAATAAAAATAACTTAAATTTTTTTTTTTGGTTACCATTATTTGCATATTATTATTAAATTATTAACTATGTAATATTTTTTTGTTCATCTCTTATGCCTTGAAAAGGTGACCACTATATTTTTTTAAATGGAAACACATGTTTTGAGTTAAATAAAATGTTTTAGTTGTTATTTTAATAGTAAATGACATTTGAATTTTCAACACAATATTATTCCTATATTAGATTTAAATCTTAAATTTCAATTTATTTAGTTATTTTACATGTATAATATACGAGAGATTACAAACACAAGTAGCTAATTTTTTATATAATGTTGCTATTAATAGTTGCAGATACGCAGCATTGATTATCAATCATGACTATCGATAGATATTTTAATATATATATATCATAATTTAATTTATATTAAAGCTAATAGATAGTGTCTTATACTGTAACGTGAATACAACCTGTGTTTAATGTAAAACACATCACAGAACAAGGTTAAGAAACAATTGAACACTGTTGTAGGTTGAAAGGTGGTATATAGGATTAAAAGATATCGTGTGCGTTTATATGTGTAAATGATTTCACATATGACTTCTGGGATTACTTGGGTGGTGATTAACTAGACTTTAAAGGTATTAGAAAATTGATTTTAAGTTAATGTCAAGTTAAGTTGTAAAATGTTTAAAAAACATTTATTTCATAGAGTAAATTTGTATAATAGTTTAGTTTTTTATAAATTGTAATTAAATAAATAATATTTGTGACAAACTGCAAATAACTCTTTTTTTTTTAGTATAATTATTCATTGATAATGAGTATTATTTTTAATTATACAAGAAGTGTAATACTTTGTTTTGTTATAGAATATATGAAATATGAAAATGTATTTATATTTTATGAATTGTATACTGTTTATGATTATCTTTTTTAAAGTGATTTTAATTTGGAAGTTATATGATTAAAATTTTAATACTTCTCCTTTTTAAGTTTTATTGAATAAAGTAAACTTTGTTGATAAAAAGTTTACAATTAAACATCGTGTTACTATCTTCTTGAAATATTGAAGCAAACAACTCTTTTGTTCCAAGTCAAAATTTATTAAACTTGATACTTTTGTTTGTAGACAGTACCCAAAAGTAATTTTCTTACTTTCGTCAATCTTTTTTATATAGCTATAAAAATCGTATTTATTCAAAATACACCATATGAATACGATATACTAAATATCTTGGTATTTTACTATGAACATAGATAACAAGTTTCCATTAAGTATTAGACACATTTTACTTGACAACAAAAGTAATAAGTATTAAATAATATAAGTTTATTCGTTTTAAGATACTATTTTGACAAGGAGAGCAATTCTAAAATCATCTCTTGGGTGTTTAATATAATTATGTAAAAATGACTTTTATTTTTTATATAAGGAATCTTTTTAAAGTCACTTC